CAGGAGATGGATGCAAAACCATTTCAAAGGTTTTATCAATGCCTAGAGGCACAGTGAAGTCTATTATTAGGAATTGGAAGGTATTTGGTACAACACAGATCCTCCCTGGATCAGGGCAGTGCTCCAAACTGGTCAGAAAGGCTACAAAGAGGTCAACTGCAACTCTAAAGCAGTTGCATGAATTGCTGACAAAGATGTCACTGTGTTCAAGTAACAATATCACAAATTCTCTTCAAACGTGGCTTGCAAGAAAAAAAACACTCCTCAAGAAAAGCCACATGTAGTCATGACTGAGCTTTGCCAAAATGCATCTTGAAGATTCTGTGGCCACATGGAAAAAGGTGTTCTGACCAGATGAGACTAAAATTCAATGATTTGGCCTAACACTAAATGATATGTCTGGTGGAAATCCAATACAGCTCATCATCCAAATAACACCATTCCTTCAGTAAAGTGTGGCGGTGGTAATATCCTGTTATGAGGTGTTTCTCTGCAGCAGGGACTGGAACACTTGTCAGGATAGAAGGAAAATGGATGGGGCAAAATACTGTCAAGTTCTTGAGGAAGATCTGCTGCCCTCTGCCAGAATGTTGTCAATGGGAAGAAGGTTTACCTTCCAACATGACAATGATCCTGAGCACACAGAACAAATGACCACACAGTGGTTAAAGGAGAAAAAGGTGAATGTCCTTACATGGCCTAGTCAGAGCCCAGACTTTCGACCCCAATTGAAAATCTGTAGAATGTCTTGAAGACTGCAGTCCACAAACGGCCATCAAATTTAACTGTACTTGAGCAGTTCTGCAAAGATGATTGGGCAATATTGCAAAGTCTAGATGTGCAAAGTTAGTAGACTCATATCCTAACAGACTAAAGTTTGTAATTAAAGCAAAAGGTGCTTCAATAAAATACTGACACAAGGGGTCGTCATTTTTCCAAAATACTGAGTTAACCAATTCAATACCGGGCAATTTTACACCTTCCTGCCCAGGCCAGTTTTCAGGTTTCAGTGCTCTCACACTTTGACAATTGCGCGGTCATACAACATTGTACCCAAACTAAAATGTTATCATTTTCTTCACACAACTAGAGCTTTCTTTTGGTGGTATTTAATCACCACTGGGGTTTTTATTTTTTGCTAAATTAACAAAAAAAAACCAAAAATTTTGAAAAAAAAAATGTTTTCTTTGTTTCTGTTATAAAAGTTTGCAAATAAATAATTGTTCTTCATAAATTTAGGCCAAGATGTATTCTACTACATGTCTTTGGTGAAAATAACCCAAATTAGGATGTATTTTTTAGTTTGTAGGAAAGTGATAGAGTTCACAAACTATGGTATAGATCTGAAAATTGATCAATCCTGAAGTACTGACAGCCAATCTAATTTCTTGAGGTCCAAGAATGTCAGAACAGTACAGATATCCCCCAAATGACCCCTTTTTGCAAAGTAGACAGTCCGACGTACTTCATAAGAGGCATGGCGAGTTTTTGAAGCTGTATTTTTTTTTTTGTCATTTTTTCGGAAAATTAAAAAAATTAGTTTCACTATTTGTTTTTTTACATATTGTCACCAGTGCAGTACAGCGTCATCATATAACTGGCATGGCGGTGATCAGGGACACTGACTGACAGTATGAAAAAAAAAATATATATATTTTTTTATTATTAAATTTTTTTTTTTTTTTTAAGATTTTTTTTTTTCATATTTCACTATGACCAAAGTAGTACAATGTTACCATAGTAACATTGTACTACTTTGGGGAAGTGATCAGTATTTTTTTTTTTTTTTTTTTACACAATTTGCTTATAGCAAAGAATTACTTTGCTATAAGCAAGCATTTACCTGAATGACATCGATTCATTCAGGGTTTTTTTTTTTTTTTTGTGCTTAGCTGTGATTTGGCCACAGCTAATCACATGACATGTGCATGTGATTAGCTGTGACCATTCACAGCTAGACACTAGTATACAATGGATGGCATGAATGAAGCCATCCATTGTATACAACTGTCATGTGACCTGCTGTGATTGTTCACAGCAGGTCACATGTACCGGCAACGGGGGCCGATACTCAGATCTGTCATCGGCCGTGTCCAAGGTACAAAAAAAAAAATAGCCGGGTGCAGATCGCGCCCCTCTGCAGGAGCGCAATCTGCGCATGTGCGGGAGGACGCCATGTGGCGTCCACCCCGGAACGCTGATGACATTTGCCGCCCGCCATTCGGCCATAGGGCGGGCGGCAAATGGTTAAACTGCTGGATTATTACTATTATTATACAGGACTTGTAAAGTGCTGAGCAAACTGTTGGCACTATATATTATGGAGGGAGACAGTACAGTAACAATACAGTTCAATACAAGAGGAATTAGAGGGCCCTGTTCCTTGGAGCTTACAATCTAGGAGGGAATTGGATAAACAAAAACTGTGTTTGTCTTCATTTCAGACTGCAAAGCATCAAAATGTGATTATTTTAAAGGGGTGATTATTTTCTATACCTACTGTAAATAGTTTTGTTGGTCCTCAATGCAATGTACAGAAACCATGGATGCCATGGAATAGGACCCAATGAGAAAGTATGACCTGTATGATTGTAATGTATCTTTGGTCAAATTTCAAGTCAGTAATGTGTATTTATACAGTATATGTGTGCAGAAAAAAAAGAAAATGTATATTTGTGCTTGGTGCAGAAATGGTTAAAAAAGATAAATAAAAAGCCCCTAACTGGTACACAAGGTGCATGTGCACTTATTCAGTACTGCACGCACTGGTGGCCTTGGAACCTGAGCAATTGGCATATGTCAAAGCTAGTTCTGGCACTCATCAGCCTGCTGCAATGCTTTGTACACTTTGCTACATCTTTTTTGTTTGACTCAATAGGGATGGGTAATTTGATTCTCTTTGTAATGAGTTATACCTAATGGTTGAGATTAAATTAATAGGTAATTCAAGTTTATACCATGCTCAGTACTAAAAATAACACTTTGTATTATAGATGTTATTTGGCAAATGAAGCAGCAAGGAGAATAGACTAGGCATGCATTCATTACCTGCAACCTAGTAGTCAACCAGCTTTTTTTCACTCTGTAAAATGTCCTAAAGTTACATTAGTCGCCACACGATTCATAGTATGCTTGAGAGGAAAGCAAAACATATTTACTTTATCCCATAAATTCAGGTGCACAGTTCTGGCAATCCTCAGTGTTTGTAATTTTGACTCCTTAACTACCCAGCAGTCTTTTAGCCCAAAGTTGTGCCTCTGTATTGGCCACTAAGGTTCCACTTTGAGTAAAATTTCAGAAGCTGTTTCCACAAAAGCCACTGGATTCCTCATCCAGTGCATTAGAGGCATTTACCAGACCTTGCCAATTCACGAGATACCATGCCAACAACAAACTTAAAAGGTCCAAGGGGAAAGTTTGAACATGACTCAGAAAGAGGGTGTTCTACAGCAGAGTATTAAAGTGTTAGTAAATCCAGGACCCTGCACTCACTATATCTGGTCTCCCACAGTACACAGAACATGGAAGTGCAATTATTTTAGTAAATATGAACTGTTAAAAACCTTTTCTCATCAGCAGTTAAAGCAGTCTTGTGACTTCTATCAGTGTCCACATGTTAAAGCTTGTAGGACAAGTAGAATGGGTAGCAGGGCGTGTCGTTGAAAGATAATGTGGATGAATGGCAGCCAGTGGTGGATGATATGTAGAAAAACGGGTACTGAGCAGCACTTCTTAAGAGTGGAGGCAAACTCTGTGCAGAGGAAGATGAAACAGGAAGGTGCTTCTAAGTGCAGTATTGCAAGGTAAAATTTTAATAAAAGCATTTAAAAAACACTTTTTTCGGTTAAAAAAACCGAAGAGGTCTCGAAGAAGTAGCTCTGTGCATGCTCCGCAACGTGTCACCGCTCCATGCTCACGTCACTTCTGGTCCGTGGACAGCATGTGCTCCAGCGGTCCGGAGAGAGCGGCGACCATCTTTGACACCTCTTCTCAAGCTCCCCCTGCAGCTGCTGGCTGGCACAGTGGCTCTATTGCTTTGAGGAAATGCCCCGCAATTGACAGGTTACTTATGAGCTTGTTTGTACTGCTACACTGTAAGTATTTTTAACCGCTTTTATTAAAAATTGACCTGGGAATACTGCAATTAGAAGCACCTTCCTGTTTCATCTTCCTAAAGCTTGTAGGAGGAGTTTTCATTGTGCTCTAGGAGGATGCAGAACCCCTGAACTCTGTCTGGACAGTGCTGATTGGCCCTGTGCTGATCACATGCACTCTCTCAAGAAAAAAAAACAAAAAACTTCTCTACACACCATACTGAGCATGTGCAGAGTGACTCCACATGATATGTCTTATCAGGAGATAAGGGGGGGGGGGGGGGGGACTGGAAGAAGGGGATGATCAGAGAAGTCATGATCAAACAGCCTTTTACATAATGCAGAGGATTAACCCCTTAGATTCCACAGTGAGTATAACAAGCATGCTTTACTGCATATACAGACTGATTTTACTGTTGTGGGTTTAGTAACACTTTAAGGTACACCACAGTTAACCCCACTTTAAGTCAGATTAAGCAGTGAGCACTTAGGACCAGTTTCTTTAACGTTGACTTTCTACTTTGGGTTGTAAGAAATGTGTGGTGGTTTTCAGAGCTCCGTGTTGAAGTGAACCTATGTGCCTCATCCATACAGACATGTAACAATTTACTTTCAAGTAAAGATGCTGTTAAATATCTTATCACTATCAAAATCAAGGGTAAAAATCAACACAGAGAGTGGTTCTGTTATTGTGTGTCGTACAGTCCAGTGTTTTTGTTTGTTTTTTTTTTTTTTTATAGGAAGGGGCTGTATGATTCTACAGATAAAGTTAAAAAAAAGTTTTGAAGTATTACATCCTTAGCAGTCAGCTTGTTTGTTTTTGCCTTGAACCTTTATTTATAACTAAGTACCTGAAATAAATAATGAGCTTATATATGAACACTATGTCTTATCTATAACTTACAGGAGGATGAAGATGCAGTGCAGTTCGCAAACCGAGTGAAGTCTGCCATTGCTCGGCAAGGGGGACTTGTTGATCTGCTTTGGTAAGCCTGGAATTCTTGTTTTTCTTAACATCAGACACGCATTTACTTTTGTAGCACACTGCTGATTTCTCTGCTCTTCTGCAGGGATGGAGGACTAAAAAGAGAAAAGGTGAAAGAGGCATATAAGGAGGAGCAGCAGAAATTGTACAGCCGCATCATCTCTGGAAACCAGGAGAACCGGAGTCGCTCCTGAACCCCAGAACAGGGGAGCGAGCTCTGCCCTAAGACAAGCCGCTGCTCCAAAAATCCACAGGAAGAAGACTCTGAGCCGCAGGAATATAAGCCATGGAGCGGGAATCGAGGGAACACCAGAACATGGAGCCACTCTGGATTTCTTTATACTTGAGGAACTGATACTGTGAGAGCCATGGCGCGCAGCAAGTCCTTCTAAGGACAAGTAGCTGCCACCATTGGACCTGTTCTACAGGCTCACAAGTTCAGGAATAATGACTGTTGTAGAACCAAGCACCCACCTAATGAGATGTGTGATGATAATCTCGTGTTTGAAAATCCACATTTGGCCAGAATGTCTTTTGAATGTTACAGATCCACAAAACGTGTCCCATAGAATCTGAAAGGTCATACAGAACGTATGTTACATTTTCTAAACTATACACTGCTGCTGATTACCAGATATCTGATATTAAGGTTGGCTCTACCAAAGACTAGACAGGACAGACCTCTGGTTCAAGCTGTTTAGTCTGTATAGCTTCCATCAGATCAGGTTACAGGCCCCAATCACCTGCAGGAATTCATACAAAGCCAGCAATGCTTGGACCTCTGCAAACCAACATCCGTTTTACCCCGACAGACATTTAGGATTTCTTAGTTTGTTTTTTCCATTTGCTGCTTTTAAATGACCTCCAAATCTGCATTCACAGGCAGACAGATGGTGGTCTTCAACAAGCCAAAAATGGGGGTTAATGATGGCACAGTGTTTGAGACCCTCTCAGATCCCATACTGAATCAGACATGTGCCTCCCTTTTTATCTGTTACACTCTGTCCTGCATGGGCCACTGGCCACAGCCCATTTTGTTTTTTATAACTCAATAAAATAAACATCTTGGCAAAAAAGTAAAAATGATCTGGCCCTCTTTTGGTGAATCATCTGAATGACAATGATTGCAGTGATGTAAGAGTTAGTAATGAATTTTTTTTTAAACATTATTTTAGGTACATATGGAACCTTAAATACTGACATGGAACAGACATTCAGATCAGGAAAGTTGGTGAAATCAGAGCTATGTACTTGTTTGAGATCAGAGACTCAAAGTACTGAAGCTCTGGAATCCGCATGCAGACTGGAAACTATTATTTTGAAAAGGTGAGGTCAGCAATGGCAGTCTCCATACTTCCTCAGTACAAGTGTCTTAAGGCCAGTTCACACTATTCCCAGAGCTGAATTGCCCAAGAACGAGCAGTGCACCTGTGCAATTCACATGCGGCTCTGAATGGTGCCGTTTCAAGCCCCTTCATTTTGAATGGGCTAAAATTGCTCTGCATTGCACTGCACCGCACCAAAAGTATTGTATGCACTATTTTTAAAATGTACTGTAACCAGATCGCATGGTAAAAAGTACCATGCGATCTGGTCCAGGACCTGCGCTTGGGGTGTTGTTGAATTTTGGAGGACACCTACTGTAGATCACAAAAATGGTGCATTTTGAATGTGCGTTGAATTGCACAGGATGCACAGTGCATTCCTGTTGCGATTTTAGATGTAGGTGTGGCGTTAACTGGCCCTTAAAGTAGAACTGTAGGCAAAACTTTTTATTTTCATTCTGTATAGAGTAAGGGAGCATTATACCCCCGTCCTTTTTTTGCCATCTGTGTCCTATTGGGAATATTTTCCTTCACTTTCTGTCCTAAAGCCAAAAGAGAAAATAAGGGGAATTTCCTGCCAATTAAGGGAATCTATTGAGGCTCCCTAGGTCTTAAGATCTTGTGTCCTCATTGGAAAATTCCACTTCTATTACTGTTCTGAAGGCAACCTAAAGTTTGGTAATGGGAGGGGGGGGGGGGTGTACAGACAATAATAACCTGACAGGTGTTCTAATCCATCTTCATTCTATCCAATACATAAAAAAAGGTTTTTCCTTTAGTTATACTTAAAAGAAGTTGGCAACAACTGCATCCATATCTCTTTACTGACAGGTCCACTTTAAAGTGTTACTAAACCCACAATAGTAAAATCAGTCTGTATATGCAGAAAAGCATGCTTATTATATTCACTGTGGAAACCTAGGGGATTAATCCTCTGCATTGTGTAAAAAGGCTGTTTGATACCGACTTCTCTGATTTTCCCCTTCTTCCAGTGTCCCCTTCTTATATCCTGATAAGACGTGTGGAGTCGCTCTGCACAAGCTCAGTGTGGTGTGTATTGCTAGAGAGGAGGGTTTTTTTTTTCTTGGGAGAGTGCATGTGATCAACACAGGGCCAATCAACACTGTCCAGACAGAGGTGAGGGGTTCTGCATCTTCAAGGAGCAGAATGAAAACTCCTACGAGCTGTAACCAGTGCTCTGCGGGACACATATTGAAGTCACACAAAAACTGCTCTAACTGCTGATGAGAAAAGGTATTTAGCAGTTTATATTTACTAAAATAATTGCATTTCAATATTATGTGTACTGTGGGAGACTAGATATAGTGAATGCAGGGTCCTGGGTTTAGTAACACTTAAAGACTTGCACTGCTAATGCAAACAGATTTGCTGTATTTAGCTGCAGAATGAAAGTGAAAAGAACAGAAAATTTTAAAATGATACTAAACTCACATTTTGTTATATTTAAATATATTGCATTTATTTTAAGTAGAATTTACCTCTTAGCTCTTTTTTCACTTTCTCATCTCTCAAATGCAAGCATGTTTCTGCTATTCTCAGGTTTCCTGTTCTAGAGTAGCTAAGTTTGTTCTCAAAGTCCCACTTGTGTATGTGAACGTAGCCACCCATTCCTGCTTGCCCCCGAGATGGACTACACAGCTACATGCAGACTCGTTCATCTCTATGGGAATTGTAGTATGCATAGAGCAGATTGTGTAACAATAGATAACGGCATTGCTTGCTCTACAACAGTAGCTGTGAGGTGCATCAGTGGATTATAGGAAGCGTACACAGGACTAAAAACAACCCCACTGAAATCCATAGTAGGAGACTTTTTAAAAAAAACATACTATACTTAATATTTTAGAACAATTGATGGAAAAAAAATTTGAGTTTAGTGTCACTTTAAAAAAAAAGTTCAACAAAAAGCTGTTGCTTACTGTGGCAGACCTTTATTGCTCAAGGCAGGCTTGTTCAATGTCTCTTCTGCAACAAACTACACCTGCCTGCCTCCTCACAGGACTGTAAACCGAGCTGCACATTACAGCGGTCTGCTCAATCCCTGTGTGTCAGAATGACTAGCTGCTACGCATACGCAGAAGTGATGTCATCCTACACCGGCCAATGAAAGTGGCCAAAGAACATCAAACAAGGAAGGTGATAGAAAGAAAGGTATTTTAACCCTGTAGTTCCACTTTGTTTTCTCAAAGTATAGGACCCTTTTTAAATATTTATGGTAAAGTGAATAACTTGCTTGTGTTGTAACACTGTTACAGTGAGGAACAGAAGTATTTGAACACCCTGCGATTTTCCAAGTTCTCCCACCTAAAATCATGGGTCTGAAATTCACATTGTAGGTGCATTCCCACTCTGAGAGACAGAATTAAAAAAAAAAATTCAGGAAATCACATTGTTTGATTTTTAAAGAATTTATTTGTCTTGCACTGCTGAACATAAGTATTTGAACACCTAAAAAACAGCAAGAATTCTGGCTCTCAAAGACCTGTTACTGTGCCTTTAAAAAAGTCCACCTCTACTCCATTCATTAATCTAACTTAGTAGCACCTGTCTGAGCTCTTTAAAGACAATAGTCCACACCACAGTCAGACGCCAACTACTACCATGGGTAAGACCAAAGAGCTGTCAAAAGACACCAGAGAAAAAATTGTGTCCACAAGGAAAGGGCTATGGGGCAATTACAATTGTGAAAATAGATCAATTGTTGGAGCAATTGTTAGAAAATGGAAGAGGCTAAAGACGACTGTCAGTCTCCCTCGGACTGGGGCTCCATGCAAGATCTCTCTCGTGGGGTGTCACTGATGATAAGAAAGGTGAGGAATCAGCCCAGAACTACAAGGGAGGAGCTGGTCAATGACATGAAGAGAGCTGGGACCACAGTTTCAAAGGTCACGGTCGGTAGAACACTACGCCATCATGGTTTCAAATTATACATTGCACGGAAGGTTCCCCTGCTCAAGTCTCATCACATGTCCAGGCCCGTCTGAAGTTTGCCAATGACCATCTGGATGATCTGGGAGAAAGTCATGTGGTCAGATGAGACCAAAGTAGAACTTTTTGGTCTAAACTTCACTCGTGTTTGGAGGAAAAAGGACGAGTTGCATCCCAAGAACACCATCCCTACTGTGAAGCATGGGGGAGGTAACATCATGGTTTGGGGGTGCTTTTCTGCGAAGGGGACAGGACGACTGCACTGTATTAAGGAGGGGATGAATGGGGCCATTTGTGAGATTTTGAGCAACAACCTTCCCTCAGTCAGAGCATTGAAGATGGGTCGTGGCTGGGTCTTCCAACATGACAATGACCCGAAGCACACAGCCAGAATAACCACAGCCGTAAGAAGCATATCAAGGTTCTGGAGTGGCCTAGCCAGTCTCCAGACCGAAATCCAATAGAACATCTTTGGAGGGAGCTGAAACTGTGTTGTCCAGCGACAGCCCCGAAACCTGACAGATCTAGAGGAGATCTGTGTGGAGGAGTGGGCCAAAATCCCTATTGCAGTGTGTGCAAACCTGGTCAAGAATTACAGGAAACGTTTGACCTCTGTAATTGCAAACAAAGGCTTCTGTACCAAATATTGACACTGATTTTCTCAGGTGTTCAAATACTTATGTTCAGCAGTGCAAGACAAATTCTTTTAAAAATCATACAATGTGATTTCCTGAATTTTTTTTTTAAATTCTGTCTCTGAGTGGGAATGCACCTACAATGTAAATTTCAGACCCCTCCATGATTTCTAAGTGGGAGAACTTGAAAAATCGCAGGGTGTTCAAATACTTCTGTTCCTCACTGTATATCTTAATTCGTTCAGACAAGACTGAAGAACCCAGCAAATGATCTATGTGGTAGGA